TGAGACTAGAGAATTTTTTCTTACAGCCTCGGCTTGTCGATGTGCTTTGTGGCTTTCAGGGTGGCTGGAATATGCCTTAAGCCTCATGCCACAGTGGGCAGAGGGGACAGACCCCGGGCCTGGCATAGGAGGCTTGTGCTGTCGTCCCAACTCTGCGTCGTATCTGAAATGTGGGATGTGATGCTGAGCCCACACTGGTGGCAGTTGTGTCTTCCTCTGTAATGCTGGTTGTAGTTTCTCTGATCTGTTCCCTTCCAGGGGTGCTGCCTTTTGCAAAGCACGACAGCAAAATAATGCAGAGGGTTTCCCATGTCTGATGCTGGTTCCCTGCCTGAGCCGGGCGTGCAAAGGTGCTTGGCTCAGCTTCGGCCGGAGGTGGCACGGCATGGTGGGAGCTGCTGCTGCTCCTCGTGGGGCTGGGAGAGCTACCGTTGCTGCCTGCTTCGCCTCATTCTTGGGCCTGGGGTTGAAAAATTGTATTTGTTTAAAAAATAATTAAAAAAAACCCCACACCAGATTTGGTGTGAAGAAGGGATTTGGTTTTTTTTCCAGTTTGAGGGCATCACAGAGAGAGGCTTGGCCAGGCGGGCGAGCTCGGGCTCGGGAGGGGAGCAGGGCAGCAGGGTGAAGGCAGCTCTGGTGGTCTTACACATCTAACTTTCCCTCGGGAGTGGGAGGTGGCTGGGGGATGCCTCTGAAGGGGCTGCTGCTGCTGATTCTGTAATTGCCGGTGGCTGCTGCTTCGCTCTGCGGAAACCTCGTCCCTGTGGACGGGCTGCCTCGAGTCCTGCCAACTGGAGGCCGAGGTGCTGCTCCCCTTCTCGAAGTCTAGGCTGTCCCAGGGACTGGGGACCTTGTTCTTGAGGATCTTCTCTAACCTCTAATCTGCACGTTGGCTCTGCCTGAGGGACCTCTGTGGCCAGGAGCAGCTCTGCCCAGCCGCATCCCTGCGGAGCCTCGGGCGCTGCCTGGGGAGGGACGCGCTTGGGGCGAGGAGGAGTTACCATCAGGTCACCCAACTGCTGCTTTTCGCCGTGGGGCCCACAGCTGGAGCCTGGCTTGTAGCGAGGGGAAGGGTCCAAGTACCAGCACCCCGCGAGGCGAAGTGAGACGGCTGAGCTGGTCAAGCCTGGTGCTCAGAGGAGAGGTGGACTTCAGCCCCTCGGCAGTCCTCCTCCTCCCTTCGGCCCTGCTGCTTCGGTTGCTGGGCTGCTGCAGCTCAGAAACCCAGCAAAAGGCTAGCTGTTGTTTTGGGGAGAAGGGGTAGGACTTAATTTTCCTGCTGGGTCAGTGCTCAGTCGGATCCCTGAGGGCCCAGCCAGTGCCCAGCCAGCAGCAGAGGCAGGTAGAGAGGAGGAGACCAGGACTGCTCTTGCAGGGAGAGCGGGTGGCTGCAGCATCGCCCTGGGGCTCTGCTCTGGCCACCATCTCTGTCAAACCCCTCGCTGGGATGAGGGAGAGGCAGCTGAGGACCCTGGTGCCGAGGGCAATGTGCCATCTATCCAGAGAGGCTCATGTGACTTCTCCCCTTGGTAAGTCTCCTTGCTGGTTGTTAGTTTTGTTGGTCCGTTTTGTTCCAGGCTGTGGCGGCTGACATGGATTTTCTCTTCATCTGCCCCTTTCTGCTGGTGCTGCTGCTGTCCCGGGGCAGCCTCGCAGACCTGGAAAAACAGAGGGTGGACTCCAGCTTGGAAATCTGTATCCTTCTCCACAGCCTGCCCCTCGAGTCCTGCCTACGTGCTCACGCCTGCTGAGGCTGGAGGGAGCTCCCCTGCAGGGAAAGGGTCAGAGACCACGGAACGGGGCACAGGCGAGTGGAAGAGAGAGGACCCAGAACAGCTGGGCAGTTGTCCTTTTGCTCCTCTGTGGAAGGACTTTAGCAGAGCTTCTGGGTTGGCTGAGCAAGCGCTTGGGTCCCAGTATAGAGATGGGTTTTCTCGCAGTGCCTGGCATTCTCCCGAGCACGGTGCTTTTCCTTTCTGCTCCAGCATGCTGGGCGCCGAGCACGTCTCCCGGTCCATTCTCAGGAGCGGTGTGGTCAGCTGGGCGGCAGAGCCCACCTGTGGGTCTCAGCAGTCTTTTGGGGTCACCTGCTGGGATGATGGGAGAGGGCTCCTGGGCTTGTGACACTCCATCTCCTCTGTGCTGCAAGTGTTTGTCGCCCAGGAGGAGGTGGGCTAAGGCAAGCCCTTCCTAGCACGCAGCAGCATCCCCTGGCGAACAGGGAAATTATGAAGAGATATTTAATATGTGTGCTCGTGGAGACAGGTATGGGGAAGGTAGGAGTTCACGTTCCTCCTCCAGCCCGTCAGCCAGAGCAGGGGCTGGCGAGGAGAAAGCTCCCCACGAGCGCCCAGCGTTGTTAAACACCTCACTGGGGTGTCTGGGCAAAGGGGCTTGCTGGAAACCCGTGTTTCATCCTGGCTCAGGCGCTGCCCCCCGCCCTCAGGCACCCTAGGGAGAACTGGGGGGGCTGGGATGGTGCCTGGTACCCAGTGGAGGGGGAGAGCAAGAGTGTGGTGGGAACGTGCTGTCGGCGCCCTTGACGGCCGTGCAGATAAGAAGCTGTTTGAGGTGAAGCGCAAGGACCAGATGAATGCGCTGAAGAACCTGATCGAGCTCAATGACGTCAACCAGCAGTACAAAATCATCGACATCATGCTCAAGGGACTCTTCAAAGTGAGCCATGTTGCAGGCTCAGTGTGCCGTGGGGCCGGGGAGGGTGGGCAGAAGCAGGTAGGGCTGGGGGCCTCTGTGGGGTCAAAGAGAAGAGCTGGGTGGGCAGGGGGCCTTTAGGGCCTGAAGGGAGGATGCTGTGGGGCTTCAAATGGGGCGGCTGGGGCAGCACCCCCAGCATGCAGGGAAGGGCCAGCAGGACGAGGCAGTAACCCAGGGCTCTGGCAGGTACTGGAGGATTCCCGGGCTGTGCTCATTGCTGCCGATGTACCTCCCGATGGGCCTTTCCCTCAGGACGAGAAGATAAAGGATGGTAGGTCCTCTCCGGTCCTTACCCCCTCCTTTTTCCAGTGCTCAGATGCATCTCTGACATTCTTCCTGGGGCCAGCGCCGGGGTAGGTACGAAATCCCCGTG